CCCCCCCCCCCCGCCCCCAAAAAAGGGGGGCCCCAAACCCCAAAACAGGAAAAACAGAGAAGCAAAAGGGAAACCAAATAACCCCCCAAACAGTTTTAGTAAGAATGATGAAGAGAGCTGGATCTTCTTCTTAAATTTTCATCCCTGTGGGGTGTTAGTATTCATTTTCCCCACAACCTTCTGTCTTTTTTGCACTTTAAAATAGATGATCCCCCAAAGCCATGATGAAAAAAACTGTCCATTTTTTTTTTTTGGGGGGCCCCCTTCTCCTCTCCCCCCCTTCCGGTTTTTCCTACTGTCACGATGAAATCCATTTCCCCCACCCTCATCAAAATTAGAGAGGGATCAACTTAAAAATTTCCCCTTTTTGTAGAAGAAAAACTTTTTATTTCCACCCGCCAAAAAACAAAGGGTTAAACTACAATGCCCAAAATTTGGTCTTTCGGGAAATTTAAAAATTTTCTTCCCCCGGTTGCGACTCTGGCACAACTGTCCAAAATCCATGAGAGTGGTTTTTCTGCAATAAATCGAACCCTAGTACTTGAGGATCATGACTCTGCTAAATGCATTTTCCCCTTGAAAACCCCGGGTTTTTTCTAAAAAAAAAATAAAATCCCATTATTCGGGGGGTAATAACCAGTTAAACAACAAAAAAAAGAGGGGGTTTTTTTCTCAAAAACAACCCCTGTACTCAAGGTTTCACGACACTTTTTAAAACGCATTCAAAAAGATGACAGGGGTTTTTTTGTAATTTAAATAAATAAAAAACCCTAACTTGGGGGTTTTCCGCAAAAACCGGTTACCAAAATTTTCACCCCCCCGGCCACACCGCTGCATTAAACGGGGAAAAAACGGAAAAGTTGTAAATCCCCTGTGAAAATGTCTATGCTGGGAGCAGCATAGGTTGGCTTAGAGCTTATGCCCAATTGTGAAATGAAAAGGGCCCAAAAAAAATATACCGGGTTTTTCTTTTCCAAACGAAAATTGGGGTATAAATTTTTTTAAAGAAAATTTTAAAAAAAGGGTTTTACTATAAAAACGGGGGACAAAATCATCAATAATTTTCCCCCGAAGACCCCCAATTGGTGCTTTTACCCCAAAATTTTTCCCCTGCAGAGATGTTAAAGCGCCGCGGAAAAATTTTCATTGAAAAAAGGAGCCGCGACTAAGAAAAATTAGGGAAACACTGGGTAATATGATTCCTTCATTCACTGTCCTGTTGTACCATTATATAACACACCAGGGCTGGCAGTCTATTTCTCCACTCCGTTTCTATCCTGTGCAATCACTTGGATATCACGGATGGAATCCAGTCCAGCACATGTGGCTTCTCTGTCAACGTTCGCCTTAGGATTTCCCGTGGACATCCTCGTTTCTTCAATCCCTCTACTTCCCATTTCAGTGCCTGTTTGGTGATTCTCTATTCGTCTCTCCTCAGAATGTGTCCAAAACAGCGCTATCTTCTATGTCTTATAAGTTTTGTATACAAATGGTCGTCCAGACATCTCTCTTACTTCAACGCTGGTGTGTTGGGAAATGAGTAGACAGATAGATTGGCTGGCTCCGCACAAAAAAGTGGTGAATTGACGTATGCCATGCTAGATATTGTGAGGGCCCTTTGGGAACGAGTGAACAGTGCGGAGGCGCAGGCAGATCATAAGTCTAATGGGAATGGCGCTGCGAGTTTACCATGGGATCTAGCTGACGCTCTACGCTCAGGGGAAGGATGAGACAGATATACAATCAGACGGTGACTGGTGACATCGGAATTGGAACTATTCGCTTGCTGCTGAAGATGGGGACTGAGCACTTATGGGAGTGTCCCGAGTACTGTGATGTCGATTCTCAATTCAACATTTCGAATGCACTTAACTTGCATTCCATGACTTCAGTGGTTCTCTAGCTTTCACTGGGGTGTATGATGCTAGCCCTCTTTTGTAAAAACCTGTGGTCAACGTCACGTTGGCCAACTTTACTTCCCAGGACTTCACCAGGTACCCCAGCCAACTTTACTTTCCAGGACTTCACCAGGTACCCACTCAAAGCTGGGTCGACCCTGGGAGCCAAGGACATTTTTTGGAAAAAGACTCCGTTCTGACTCAAAACCACAACCTTCGGATCCACGGGGAAAGGGGGGGGGGGGGCATGTAGCCGCTACACCACAGCAGCTCCTTGTCACTACAGTACCCCTGGTTAAATCCTGACAAGAGTTAAGAGTTTATCTCAACCAAAGTCAGCCAGTATCATAGTTATTATTTTTGAGCTGATTCTGGGATCATATTTGCATCGACCACTGGTTTCCCATAAGAGTCAGCCAGTCTAAGAGAATGGTTATTACATTAGAGCAGATTCTGGGATATTAGATATGGAGTGAGACAGGGGTGCATTATGTCACCCTAACTACTGTTTATCACATACGTCGACCAAATTTGCAAATCGGCTAACAACAGTGAAGGGGACAACATCGGAGAATTGCTAAATGAATTTGCTTTTTCGTCGATGACAGGTAATAATAGCACCAACAGCAGTACAGCTACAATAACATAATAATAGACTTCACTCAGAATGTGACAACTATGATATAAATATCAATGTAGACAAAACAAAAGTGATGACATTCTCAGACAAAATTTATGAACACGAGTTAAAGCAAGCGAATGATTTTACATATCTAGGGAGCATTTTTTCAGAAGATTGGGGAATTAATAAAAAAAAATCCAGCAAAGAGGCAATAAAGCCAATAAGGTTTTAGGCTAAATGGCACCAATTCTGAAATGCAAGTATATGCATATGAACACTAAAAGAACACTGTTAAACATAATATTCATAGCAATGCTATGCTATCAATGTCAAAAATGGACACTGTCTTCAGAAGACAGAAGGAAAACAGTCACAACAGAAATGAAATGTTTACATACTAAGCTAGGTGTAACAAGGAAAGATCGACTTAGGAAAGATGATATCAGGAGGAGAGTCAGCACAGAACCAATAATTAACTTTATAGGCAGAAAACAAATCAAATGGTTTGGCCATGTAATAAGATTGGCATCAGACAGGGCATCACAGAGAGCAATGTTATAAAGATACAGCGGTAACAGAGCCAGAGGTCGGCTGCGCAGAAGATGGACCACAAAAAAATCAGAGACTCTGAAAAGTACTTTATACGAAGCTAACAGAAGGGCCCTTTCCAGAGATCTCTTCCTGACCTGACGCCGCGAGGCATTCCAAGCCAGGAGTAGAGGAAAGAAGAAAAAAGAAGATTCTAAGACCATATATGATTGATCACTGGTTCCCCATGAGCTAAGACCCTCTTATTAGAATGCCATGTACCCTTTGTAGCTTACTAGCCATCATACTGAAAAAGATATTAAAACTTACAAGTATCAGAATCGTAAAAAGGACTATTCTAAAGTTGAGGTTTTTTATATCAATGATACCACAGACACCTTATTGCTCCACTAACCACTGGCGGGTGTATAGCCAAATTATCATGCCCGACTACTTCCATCAACGACAAACTGCATTTCTGGTAGTGACTGTTAGTTTTGGCACCTCTAGCAACTGTCATATGCATTTACTGCATGCGCATAGTTCTCGATTGTTCTGGGACTAATTGTTTGCTTACCATTTTCTTAAACGGGACATTTCATTTGATTTTCACTGGCACAGGAACGGAGCAAGTATGGGGTGACCTGATTGCAGTGAAGTTGAAACCTCGACTGAGACTTAGGAGCTCAGCATCTGGGATTAAGTAGGTTAAATTCATGCGATAGTAACATGGCCCTGGAATCCCAAGAAAATTGTGGAAGAATTTTCATAATGCAAGTGATTCTTGCTAGTCACTCGCCATCACCACGGGCTGTGGCTCCCAACACTCAGGTTCTGGAACAAAACCGAGTCCAGAATTAGATGAACAACCAGAACTTTACATCTGAGATTACAGCTGGTGAACGCAAAGAAGAAGAAGAAGAAGAAGAAGAAGAAAAATCTATGTTTTTTAAATCTTAGTTTTCAAAATACTTCTTTGCTTTCTGTTCCCGTTCTTACAAACCTTTCACTTATCTATATAACCTCAGTCAGTTAATTATTCTTAAGTACTATAACATTACAAAGTATACGTACTCAATTCACTTTCACGTATATACACCAACATATAAGCATTTGTACAATGTCTGACAGTGAGATCGTCATCCTGTCCACCAAAATTGTGGTCGATGGCTTCAGACTTTGTACATCGGGAGACAACATCATCATCAAACTTGCACCACTGCAATAAAAATACACACAAGTGAACATGAACCCATCAGTTTACAAAATACTGTTAAAAAATAGAAAAACAGTTATCGGATGGTACTACCCTTTTTTTTAGAGAAAGCATGGAATAAAGGCACCAAGAACTGCCTTAAAAAAATTGAAGATCAAATTATACAACACATTAGAAGAAGCATATAAAAAATCTTTACATCTCCCTGCAACACCTCAATGAAGCAAATCGAGGAAAAAAAGAAGACATACAGCAACAAAAATACTATTAATCTGAAGCTAATGACACAAATATTTTTTTTTAAAAATCAGTCCCCCTTCCAGATTTGCATTCTGCAGGATTAAAATCTCAAGGATAAGAATTTAACATCTACAAATTCCGGAAAACTTGTTTAACTTTACCACACCCGGAAATTTTCTAACCTGCCACTTTACCACTGTCCCAATTGTTCAGTAATTTGCATACTACATTTTAAATCGCATCACAAACTAAAAATAACCAATGAAATGTGACCAAACCTCATGGTTAGTCATTGCGAATGGCTGCCCATGTGTATTTGGATTTACTTTATATGGTTTAATGTAAAAAAAAAAAAAATCAGAAAATTCACAATGAAACGAGCGGTTGATAAACCAAGCACTTCGACAGGAAAGTGAAGTAGGTCTAGGCTTTTCACAGTCCAACAGGTGATCGATACTTTGGTTGATTCAGACTCTGAGGAGTCAGAACTTCATGAAGAATACGTTAACAGTTGAAGAGATACAGTCAGTGAGAGCTCGAGTGATGAGGAGAATCTGGAAAATGATAGATATAGACCTAGAATGATAGTAAGAGAAGAGGGTATGTCCCTCAAACAGCAACAAGGCTGATTATACTGGGTAGATTGGCACATAAAGGTGAAAGATTGGCCACTAGATGAAAGGTAAACCTATTTTCTACAATGTCTCCAAGTTCCATCTTGTTTGCATTGAACTAATATTTTACCCCCATGTGGGTTCCGGGGCCCCATTGTAAGGAAAACAAGAATAGACCCACTGCCTCCCCAAAAGCATGTCGTAAGAGTCGACTAATTGGGGAGCTTCCTTTGAAGTCGGAGTGCATCTGCCGGAGAGGCAAGGAACCAAGAGTCTGTTTTCAAGAGAATGAGATCTGTAAAACTGATGCACACACAACATTCAGGTTCTGGAGCAGGACTGCAGTTCAGTAGTGGACAAGCAACCAGAACTTTCCGCCAGAGTGTACAGCTGGTGAACGCGAAGAAGAAGAACTAATATTTGTGTATATTATGTCTTGTTTTTTCCACATTAATGGCCAGGAGCCATTAAAAAAAAAATCCCTTGACAGTTGGAAATTGACAAGAGTAGCCTAACGGCACTGCCCGGGCAAAATTTTGAGTTAAAAATCTACCCAAAGTATTTCAGGATCCTCGCTGGTGCTACAGAGCCTGTGCTGAGCTTCTTCAGACTCCTAGAATTCAGTTAGAATTGGTTACTACCCGTGTGACATGATGTTGATCCGTTATTCAAACTTCAAACCTGATACCAACCATTATCCAGATATTTCTTACCCTTTTTTTTAAAAATTCATCCTATTTAACGAGATACTGTCCAACACAATATTAACATCAATCAATACAACCAAAGATCTTTAACTAATCTTGAACCTATAACACAGATGATAATTCTGCCTGCTGTGACACACATTGTTTAATATCATATTAATATCCCTCCCTGTGTGGATTTCATGGCCTCGCTGGGGGAAAAAAAGGGAAGGAGGAATAAATCCACTGCCCCCATAACAAGCATGTTGTAGAAGTAGACTGATTAGGGGTGTTTCCTTCCATGTCGAAGTTCATCTGCCTGAGAGGCGAGGGACCTTCAGTTTGCTTACAAGTAAGCCAGATCTGTAAAATGGATGTGCATATAAAACTCCAGTCTTAGAACAAGACCACAGGCCAGACGTGTACAAAAAATCTGAACTTTCCGCTGGAATTTACAGCTGGGGAACGTGAAGAAGAAGATATTAATATCCCCACATGAGTTCCAGGGCTCCATTCTGGAGATGGAGAACAAGAATAGAACACAACATAATATGACAACCACTCCTAAAGAGCAAGCACAGAAGAAGAAATATTTATATCAGCACAACCACCACAGACCTATATAGCCAAACTGTGAATAAAAATGCCAGGTAGCACTTACCTTGCCGTCACCCCTAGGGTTAATATATACGACGTAGTGCCCTCCGTGGTTATCCCCGCTATGTACAAGCACAGCATGCAACACATAGGCTGCAGATGTCTTCTCTTTCTTTTGAAGAAACTCATCTAAGTTTAACCTCTCTGGGAATTCAAACCTGAAACAGTTTATGATGAATTGATGTTTGTTTAATAAGATGAAAAATGTATACATGAAATCAAACCAACTGCAGCCTTATTTATGACATAATCTACAAATCCTTCATCTTCTTCTAGGTATTCACAGCTGTAAACTCTGGTAGAAAGTTCTGGTTGTTCGTCCACCACTGGACTTTAGTTTTGGTCCAGAACCTGAGTTTTGCATGCAGATGCACTCTGACTTCGAAGGAAGCTCCCAATTAGTAGATTCTTACGATATGCTTGTTGGTGGCAGAGGGTCTGTTCTCGTTTGTCCACCACAATGATCTCCAGAACCTACACAGGAAACATCTGTTTTTACATATCTGGCTTACTGGCTAGGTTGGTATGCAGAGAAATAAAAGGAATGGGATTAAACAGAACAGAGACACTTATACAGGAAGAGCGCTTTAGAAAGGGACAGAGACAGGAAGTGAGATACGACAGACACATATAGAGAGAGAGAGCATCAAAAGGGAAGAAAAAAGGAGAGGAATAAGACAGAACACATATACATGGAGAGAGCTTCGGAGAGGGAGGCAGAGCGTGACACAAGATGGACACATATAGAGGGAGAGAGCACAGAGGGAAGAAAAAAGAGTGGGATAGACAGAACAGAGACACATATACAGGGAGTTTCAGAGAGGGAGAGAGAAAGAGTAACACAAGACGGACTAATATAGAGGAAGAGAGCGTCAAAAAGGGAAGAAAAAAGGAGAGGGATTAGACTTAACAGAGATCATATACAGGCAGAGAGCTTCAGAGAGGAAGAGAGAAAGAGAGTAAGACAAGACAGACAAATATATAGAGAGAGATAATCAAAGAAGGAAGACAAAAAACGTGATAAGACAGAACAGAGATAAATATTCAGGGAGACAGCTTCAGAGAGGAAGGGAGAGATGAGACAAAAGGGACAGACATATGCAGGAAGAGAAGCTTCAGAAAGAGGGACAAAAGGAAAAAAAAGAAAGCTAGACAAAGACACAGTAATATAAAAACATACCTATCATTAATTTTGATGTTTGCATCTGTGACTGGATCGTACATGAACCTCATGAGATGTAGGTGTAACACAGGAGGAAATGAGAGAAATATGACACCTTTCTCTGACTCCTGAAAATATGTAACAAAATACTGGTCAGTATGACTTATACATGTTTTACAAAACAACATTTAATGTTTGCTGCCACTTCTATTTTGAGTAACACAATAAGATATGTTGCCGGCATCTTTCTTTCTTTCTGGATGAGTGTTATGCTGAGCTATAAGAAGGCATGTGAATCACAGCCCATGGTGATGGCGAGTGTGACTAGCAAGGCCCGCCTGCGGTTAACAAAAAAACATCCACAATCAGAGCACCAGTTTTCAAGACCGTTGTTGCCATCATTCGTATTCAGTGTTTCTTCTCTCACTCAACTCTCATCCTTTCTGCAATAATTTCTACCCTCCCATTCCCTTCCTGATTTGCCCCCCCCCCCCCCCCCCCCTCCTTTCCACGCAACATGGTCCATGGCATTTGGTTTCCCACGAATGCATGTCAATACTTGCATTATTCATGTCCTGCCTTTATATCGTAGCAGAGATCGGCCTTGATATTTTCTACCCATCTGTAATTCATCACACAGGATGTCCTTAGGGACTACCATCCTCCGTTCTTCAGGTGTGACCCAGCCACCTGAGCCTTCGGCAACTGGGCATTAAGAAAAATGTAACACCTGCTCTTTGCAATACATCAGTGTTTGTGATCTTGTCTTGCTGTTTAATGCAAAGTATTCAACACAACCTGATAACAGGTAACAAATTGCTGGCAGTATAATAACTATTAAACATTATTAATCCAAACTGTTGAGAGGTGAGAGGTTCTGTACTGGATTCTATCTATATCTTCGCTTGCTGCTGAAGATGGGGAGGGAGCGCTTATAGGGTGACCCAAGTGCTGTGATGTCGATTCTTAATTCACTATTCTATCTATGATATCAAAAGGCACCAGACAGCGTGAAGTAGAGGACAAGACTGTGAGGACTATGTCACGCATATGGGCCCAACAGGAATATGAGGATGATGAATAAATATATTAATTGAGTTGATTCAAGAACTGACATCACAGCACTCTAGGCATTCCCATAAGCGTTCCATCCTCATTTTCAGCAGCCTGCGCAGAGTTCCAATATCACTGGTGCCCCAGTAGGCCCTAACCACATCATTATTTAAAACACATATAATATAGCATTGAATGTTTCTTGCTGCTTGTATTGTGACACAAAAAGAAACTGATGCGAAAGAGAAGGATCCATGGTGGCAGTCTTTATGTGTTTAGAAGAGTGTGACCAGAAAGGTACAGAAGCAGGAACAGGGCAATCAGTAAAGACAAGGTGCAGAAAGAAAGAGGTAACGTGTATCTGTATTTGAGGAGGAAGACAACACTGACTGAAAGATAAAGTGCATGTGTCAGAGAAAGAGAAACCTAGTCAGACAGAATGAATGAATGAGATTCAAACCCACCAGAACATCCAAGCGATAAACACCCTATGACACAAAGTGCCACCATGTGGATGAGGATCACCCATGGAGAGGTCCCAGAAACCATGTTCAACAAGTTATATTAAGTCCTACAGCCAGGGTGGGCTTTAAAATAAAGGAAAAACTGTGTCTCGTATCGATACGACAGTGTTTGATTAGTCAGATATAAAGAGAATATGCATTCAAAACCAGAGCTGACAGAGAGACAAGGAATTTGTTAAAGTGAGTTCCCTATTTTGAGGGAAATTGGGGGCGGGGGGGGACAGACCTAATGCCGCCACCCCCCCCCCTCCTTTTTTTTTCCCACAAGCATGTCATAAAAGGCTGCTAATCAGAAGTGCTTCCTTCAAATTTGGAGTGCAAATGTCTGAGAGGTGAGGCACCAACAGTCTGGATCCAAATAAGCCAGATCTGCAAAACTGATGAGCAAGCAAAACTCAAGTTTTGGCACAAGATGCAGACGATATCTGCTCCTTTCAGCCCAACACATCTCATTTCAGCAAATTCCTTATTAGTTGCCTTTTATGACATGCTTGTTAAACAGCAGTTGGTCTATTTTTTTTCCCCCACACAATGGGGCCTTGGAATGAACCCACACGGGGAAATCCAACATATAAATATACATTTGCAAAGATACACCTCACATACAGTTTATCAACTCAACATACAAACAGGCATGCATGAGGCCTTAAACCAAAAAAAAAAACAATTTTATGACAAACCTGCAGTCCATACTCCCCAGCGAAGTATTTATTATCACCATCAAGTGTTTCCACTGTGCAATACTCTTTGAAAGACTCAGTAACTAGAAGGAAGAAAAAATTGTACTCTTTTAATTTAGCCTAAGCAAGGGAAGAAATCTGGCATATATAGTACATCCTGTCTTTCAATTTAGGTTTATTTGAACCAATATGATAAACCAGGTATTGAACAAAGTATTTACAATTATGTATTAGCCACTGAAATATTTCTTCTTCATGTCTTTGAAAAACTAGAAGGGGAAAAAACTGGCAGCCCATTTATTTTATCTAGGCAAAACAGCTGAAGAAACCTGGCATATACAGTGTATCCGAGAATTCACAATCCAGTCTCCGTGGCGAAGTGGTCAAGCTGTTTGCTTCGCGCTCTGAAGGTCCTGCGTTCGTTTCACAGCTGCGCCCTTCAGTTTAGTGCAATTTTTACAAAGATCTATGAGGATTGTCACCAGAGCTATGGAATTCGTGCTCTGCGTGGCACTCTAGGCAGCAGCTTGCCGTTCTGCAGAGACCAAGCCATATAGGATAAAACCCAGTGCAATGAAGTTGATCCTTTGAACTTTAACCTTTTATACCTAGTATATCGTGTCATCGTATTTACATTTTTTTATAAACATGTCACCGTATTTACATTTATTTGAAACAATCAGATAAACAACCTACCCTGTAATTATAATTATGTATTAGCTAGCAAAATTCTTCTTCTTTTTCTTCTTCATGTTCACTAGCCGTAAACTCCAAAGGAAAGTTCGGGCTGTTCGTTCTTTTTCTAGACTTTAGTTTTATAACTTACGTTTGGCAGGCACATCCATTTAACAGATCTGACGACCAAACTTTTTCATATCCTGCACTCTCCAACCACATGTATCAGTTTGTGTGCCATCATCTTTCACGGCCATGACAAAAGGCTGTCCAGAATCTTTCATAATTGTTTTTCTCTACCTCTCCTTCCATAAATCTTTCCAGCTGTCACATGTTCCAGTTTTTTTATTCTTATAATGTAGCCAAAAAATAACTACCAGATTGGAGACTGTTTTCACGCCTGCTCTCAAGTCTTATTTTGTTCTTCTTCACGTTCACCAGCTTTAAAAATTCTGCGGAAAGTTCACGTTGTTCATCCACCTCTGGACATTAGTTTTGGTCCAGAAACTGAGTGTTGCGTGCATATACATTTTACAGATCTGACTTATTTGTATGCAGACTGCTGGTTTGTTGCCTCTCAGGCAGTTGCTCACTGACTTCAAAAGAAGTCCCCAGTTAGTCGACTCTTATGACATGCTTGTTGAGGAGGCAGTGGGCGTATTCTTGTTTTCCTCAGACTGGGGCCCCGGAACCTATATAGAGACTCAAGTCTTATGACATCTCTCAGTTCGCCAATTCCTTATCCTAATAAGTGTATTATTATTATTATGTAAATTCTCAAAATCCATTCTATAAGCTACACATTTTCATATACTGGACTTATGCAAAATAATCACACAAGGCAAACACATGAACTGGGTTCTTTCATAATACCCTACTCCAGATGACGTCACAGGACAGTCCAACATTTTCGAAGGTGGCAAGATGGGGTTTCCCGGCTTTCTGATACTTTTAACGACCCCAAAATATGTAGAACTTGCCCTAACCCCAACCCATCTTTGTCCCAGAGTGCAGCCTAAGTCCCATGACTGCATGAAGCCTATCTTCCACACCCTGAAATATTAGACTGTCCAGTGACCTGTGGATTTTTCCTGTTTGGGGTAGGATATTAAGAAAGCACCATGAACTGTTCTCACCATTTTTTTTCCCTTTGACGTTGAGCTGTATATCAAAGAAAGTTTCCTCTTTCTTTGAGTCATAATCTACGTGCTTGCACTTGATGTATGACTGCAAACACATGTGGGGAGAAAACATTTCAATACAAGGTTAACATTCCCAATCGGTTAACCCCCCACTCATTATCATGTACCATGGTGATAAGTGTAGGCTGTCATGTTTCGCCATCTCATAAAATCACCAGAATCACAGATCAGGTCAGTGTTTTTGTTCCACCCCATCCATAATTGAAAGCCTTTTGAGTATTTATCTATTTGCATTCTCCCTCCTTTTCCGCCAATCTTGTCAGTTGTAACCAAGTTCTCAAGGCCAGTCCTTCTCATAGCATCAGCTACAAACAGAAAATTATTTAAATAAAGAAGATGACAGCAGATTTAACAATTAGCAGCCTGGCATATTTCCTGTACCTAACAGGTGCAAACGACAGAATTAAACAGAGAGAAGCAAGTTAATAAAAACTTCCAGCTTAGATAAAAACATGAAGATCTTCTTCTGCTGTGTTCACAATGAAAAGGGCAGCTGGCCTACTACACTGTTGTGATTTACAGCAAGCCTGCAATATATGCACCTGCAGGCTAACATATTCAATTTCAGCGAACTCCTAAGCAGTCACCTTTTGCAACATGCTTGCCAGGTGGCAGTGGGTCTACACCCCCCCCCCCCCCAGTTGGCTGAGGCCACAAAACCCAAACAGGGAATGCATATATTAAAATGTATCTATGCATCTGTTTTACCATGGTAAATGCATGTTTACAACCATGCCATTTTGTCTACATAACAATAGATGTGTACTGGCAGATGCTGAATAACAAACTCTCCAATCTGTTGTCTGTCTTCTTTTCAGAACAGCTAAAAAAAATTTTTTGATGGTTTAATTTTCCTCACCCGGATCACCATGTGTCTCAAGAGTCCCTATCAGGATGGGAATCAGACAGCAACAAATTCCATAACCCTGTTCAATCATGCAACATATTTATAATGGGACACCTGACTGTTACAAAGTAACCTGTGCAGTGCGGTTGGCTTTTGTAACTCTTGACTGAGAATTAAAATTACTTCTGGCTTTTATACCCCAATGCAGTATATACCCTTCCTTAACCATAAATGATTAGATTTTTACAGCTAAAGTTTTTAAAACTGGTATTTACAAATATGGTTTTAACACCATATGCCCAATATGCCAATAAAATGAAAAGAGTCCTTCCCGGTTGGTTGCATAGGAGATTTGTGTGGTGTTCTCTTTGTCCCTCTATTTACAGGTGTTGCAAATGCAGAACCTGTGTAGACTGGTCAGCCCTCAAGGGAAGGCAGGGGCAGATCATGGGCATTCCCAGTCATCCAGGGAGGCTTCCATGTGCTAACATGATAGATGTTTCCTGGCTCACCCAAGGAATTGTCAGGTCCTGCACATGACTGTTTAACCTCTCATCTGTGTGGTGAGCTGCTTACTCATCATGCGCGGTGCCTTTTGGAGACCAACAAGCAGCAGCCTGCAGGTCCAGGACTTTGATGGCCACACAAATGGGCACACTCTCCTTAGCATGTTAGACATGAACACTTTTCAATACTTACCAACATTTTTCCCTCAAAGAGTTTTGGAATAGTTCCTTCAACACAAGTCCCTTTCATTTTGCTTTCCATGTTGTCTAACAACTGAAATGAAGTCAAACATATAACATCACATATGTATATTTCAAGCAAAATAGAGTTGAGATATATGAACAACTGTTAATAAGACTTCTCTTTCTGCCCTCACTAATGCACTATGTGCCAGGCAATTCTGTATGTGTACTGGTCAGTATCCCAAGTGTTAATGCACTTCTTATACCCAGCGAAGATCAGACTCAACTGATTACTGACTTAAGAATCAACAGCATGACATAGGAGGCATACCCCCTGAGGCTCTGTCTCCTGGAGCAATTGCCTCAACTCTTTCAGTCCCAAGGAGTTTAGCATCAGAGGCCCAAGGGGCAGTAAAGAGAGAGGTAAATTCCGCTCATCTTACATAAAGAGTCGACAAACTGGGAGCTTCTTTGGAAGTCAGTGCATCTGCCTGAGAGGCAAGGAACCAACAATGTGCATGCAAATAAGTCAGATCTTTAAAATGGATGCAACCCTCAGGTTCTGGAACAATGCTAAAGTCCAAAAACTTTCTGTCGGAGTTTACAGTCGATGGACAGGTGAAAGCAAGTTTCCTTCCTTGACACTTCTTCTTCACAGATAATTACTAGAAAATACTTAAAATTGTCTGGCACTCATTTTATCCAGAATGATCAACCCTACAGCCACACTGGTTAAGAAAAAAAAGGCTTTGTTAGTCTTCTTCTTCTGTATTTGCTAACCCTTTGGGAACGACTAGGCCCATCTATGGGCCCAACAACAAAGCAGCCAAAAAGACGGCTAGGCTGACCTATCAACCTGGTAATATAAACCTTGAGATTGACTGGCTGGTCTTCATACCAGCTAATCAGATTGTTTCTTGCATTTCTTGCACATGTGGGCTGTTCAATGGCAGCTTTCGTGAAAGTCTGTCCCGTTCTGTAATTTTACATCAATCTGGGGGGGGGGGGGGGGAGAGAGAGAGAAACGGTTACCTGTGCCCAACAATGGTTAAAAGGACTGTTGCGTCATAGCAACATAAACATAGCAAGAGGTAGGAAAATGAGTAGAACCATGTGCCAGAGGCATCTGGAAGGCCTACATCGGCTTTGCTTCCCAAAACACAAGTGTTAGGACTGATTTAGCCTTCCTTCACTCAAAGGAAAAGTTAGCCAAATTTTCAATTTTGTCTCAAGTAATTAAAACAAAGTGCAAGCATAAATATGCAAATGCGATAGCTAATGTTGAGATGTCAGTGTGATTCTTGAAGATCCTGTTAGTTTATTCACATTCCTACATGAATATATATAATTTAGTATATGTTAATTCAATGCTTTATTATTTTATAATTTATGTGTGTGCGAGCATAAACTAAGAGAATCCCCTCCTGAAGGCTCCATCTCTCTAGTACCAAAACTCCAAAAAGGCTCTGTCTCCAAAGGGTTAAAAAAAGCGGCTGGCATGTTGTGTTGTAGTTCAGCCAGGTTGCTTGTTCTATACATGCCTACTGGCTTAACACATCCCATCTCAGCAAACCCTCAATTAGTCACTTTTTATGACATGGTTATTATGGAGCAATGGGTCTGTTTTTTTATCAGGGAAAATGGGGCAACGAAAAACCAGAACGTCACTGAAGAGACTGAATCCAGACCACTGTCTTAGAAGGCATGAGAACTAACCAACACACAAGTGTGGCAACTTGCCAAACTCACCATGAAAATATATTATTCTCTGGCTGGGAAATGTCAGGGTACTGAATCAACAAGAGTAATAAAACTGGTTATTTTCTACCACATTTCAGTTGTGGTGTGGCAACATAACTGTGTGGACAGCTAGGTACTGTCATCATTTGGAAATTACAGATTTCAGTTTTCTATAACCAGAACTTGGTTGCTTGTAGGCCCGGAGAGATACCAGACAGACCTTCATTTTCACAAGCTGTCCAAACAACTTCATTTGACGTCTTTTAATTATTAGTCCAATTCAAGGAGTTGTATCCATGTCATTTCTAATATAATCATTTCTAATTATACCTGCTAACATTCAGAGAATAAAGACTCAAATATGAAATTTCAATAATTGATTACCACTCGGCACAGTTCCTGGGCATCATGCTGCATGAAGGAGTCTAAGGTTTCCCATCTGTGGAAAAGACCAAAATTGTGACATTTCTGAAGAAAATCAATTACACACACATATTTCTTTTTCTTAAAGACAAGTTGTGTCATTTCTGGGACTAATCCCACATCTATATATCAGGCAGCACCTGCGGATTGGGGGCAAAAATGAAAACACACCAATGTGACTGAGCAATGTCCCACAAAACTAACTGGGAAGGTTAAACTGGACAACATAAGCCTGAAGAAGTTGGGTTGTGTGTGTCAGCCAAACCATGCAATATCATGCAGTGATGCTGTAAACAGGCTCAAGACAATTATATCCAAAATTTCTCCTTCTATAAAAAAATGCTCTGGTTGAATACTGTCAGGACCGTTGTCAGTAAAGAGTGCTGTCATGCACGAATAAGTCTTACAAAACCTGATTACTTTATTTAAAAAGAGACTATAGTTAATACAATTACCCAAATGATCTTGTGAGCTTCTTTGTTCCCACCGGCTTGTCTGAAAACTGGAGCTCATAGAAAACACGCTGAAGAGCTAGTGGAACACTCCTTGTACCATCATCACTTTCTGTAGGCATCAAGTACACAGCCTGCAAGCAATGTGTGTATCTTTAATGTCACCAACTAATTAACAGGGAATAGGTTCAATCTTTGTGTGTGTGTGTGTCAGAACATTCTGGGGTAAGAGGGAATTAATGAGTGGACTGGCTTGTTGGCAGGCCCACAGTAGGCAGAGGACAAGCAGTTGACCAGGTATATGTTTTAATTGCTCTAAAGGAGGCAAGATGAATATATGATTCAGGAGATGACAGTGAATCAGCAACACTGACAAGACTACCTCAACTTCATGTAAAAAGAAGGCAGCCAAAGAAGAATAGTAAACCAATGCATAAAGTTTGTCATCAGTCGCCACACACTGAGGGAGATACCTGAGTTAGGATCCGAGCCCTTACAGACCTGTCCAATGAGGATGATCCATCAACTGACTAATTAATTAACACTGATAATTTATTTATAGCCTTAAACTCTCTACCCCTGGGTGTGGTAAAAGTAAAGAACCCTTCTCACTACCAATGCCACAGTGGGGACAGGATGCCCCACATTTTTATTAGCCAGTCAGCCCTAGATGGGTGATGTGATCAACTTCATGCTGGCTACTCTTTCTCAGGAAGCAGCTAGCCGTTGGAGAGAGATAGAGCAATAACGGTCCCAAATATCGAGGCCGAAAATATACCCTAACAGGGCCTCAGTCATGTGTCAATTGCGCACTTCCGTCGTCTTAAATTGTGCACTTCCTGCGACTTCCGCCACCGCCAAGAGTATCCCCCACGACGCTCAGGTGGTGTGGATTGGGGCTAAACTAGGTGGCTGGGACTCACGAGCAGCAGCTACCCCATCTCCTGCAGCTTCCTTCATTTTATTTGCTCATGAGCCCTAGCGATCTAGATTAGCCACAATCCACGCCGCGTGAGGCCCTGTTAGGGTATATTTTCGGCCTCGATAATTTGGGACAGTTATTCAGAGGATAGCCGATAAAACTTAGGACTATGAAGCTGATCTTCTTGACTTCAACCTTTATTTCCTGGTACCCATTTTAGGCCGGGTTGACTATGAATCTCAGGTCATTTATACAACAAATAAGCTATCTCTGGGTGATACCGTAAACATATTTCCTCTGCTTGTTTTATTTCAAATTCAGTCGCATATTAACACGACAAGGCTTGTTGGTGATGACCTATGAAACCACAGCCCAGTACAGCATGAATGTAATACCAGTGAATGCGACAGTTATGCTTACACAACACCTTTATGGGGGTGAAGACGAATGGGTAAACAGCCATGTGAAGCACGTTCCTAATGCCAGTGAATACAACAAGTCATACTTGCATGATGCAGTTTGTTGGTGAATACATATTTAGTGAAAAATATTTAACACTAGTGACTGTGAGTTATACAACATGATTTGTTATTGAAGACCTATGGATACACAGTATCGAAGTATCATTCGAAATTTTTTTAGTACTGGCCTGTTAACCCATGTATTTAGCAATAAACTGAAGTACACATTTACTAGCTGCTTCTGTACCATTGTCTTATATTAATCTATTACATTCCACTTGCAACTTCCATTTATCATATGATGGGAAACTCAACCTGAGCTTCCCAATAAAACACAATCACGAAAGACAAAGTGGAGGCTGCAGCAAGAAACATGGACAATGACAGAAAGACAAAGAATATACATAACTTTTTGATGAAGTCAACCGGTTGTCAAAATATTCCTACATGTTTAAACACAAAGGCTTTAAAGTTATTGTCCCTTACTGTTCCATGGCATTTTACTTGACCTAACTCCTCTTGTTCTTGTTCACCAGCTATAAATTCTGGCAGAATGTTCTGGTTGTTTGCCCACTTCTGGATCTGGTTTTGTCCAAGAACTAGTTTTGTGTGCATTCCCCTTTACAAATCTGGTTTATTTGTCTGCAGACTGTTGGTTCCTCTTTACCTTTTAGATAAACAAGAAAATGTTAAAGTAAGAGTCATCTGGCCGTGACAGAGTTAACTAATACTAGTTCCCCCATGTGGGTTCCAGAACGCCTTTGGGGGAAAAAGGGGGGGGGGGGGGGGGGATAAAAATAGATCCCCATAACAAGTATGTCATAAAAGATCAATAAATGGGAATTAGTTGCAAGTGGATGTGCTGGACTGAAATAAACACAAGACACTTTGAAAATCACCCTTTCGAGGGCAAACGCAGAATAAGAAAGCTGTGCATTGAGACAGTGATACTTACACGACGCAGTTTATTGGTGAAGAACAATGTTTGCAGCAGTGAATTCATATAACAAGTGGCTCCCTGGTTCTTGAGTCCTACATAACCAGTATGTTTTTTAGAGTCCCAGCTGCAAATATAAGAAGTTAGAGAACGAACAAGGAAAGGATACATTTCTTCAAATTCTCATTTAAAAAAAAAAAAAAACAAATTAAAAACAACCAAAAAACCCTACTACTTAAAAACTATTATTTAAAAGAAGTTAATGTGTTCTTCAATATCAAAACAGATCTGTACCAGGCACAGAGAGGGGAGGGAGGGAGAGAGAGAGTGTGTGAGAGAGCGCCCCACATACACACACACACATATATATAACTACATGAGTGTGTTGCAATAGTAACTTTGCAATCTACCAAGACCCAAAAGACAACTGCTACTTTATGATAAAGCGGATGTAGCAAAGGCTTTCTTAGACCACATGGACAGGGCAATAAAACAGAGAGAATCCATACACACTGAAAGATTAATTCAACAGGGATTTGGGGAGGGGGGTGAGTAAGAGGTTCTGGAAAATATTCAACACTGAGGGGGAAACAAAGGTGGAGTTTTAATCAGATTGCAGCTGATACTATTAGCATGTTGACTCTTCTCTGGCTACTGAAGAAGGGGACGGAGCACGCATGTGACTGTCCCACCTGCAATTAATTCATTCAAAGGCACCTAATGAGGGTTGGTGTGAGACCCACCACAGAAAACTTTAGATAGAAAATCTAACTTTATTTAATTTTGTCAGCTTCACTTTAAGCTGGCTGCAGTGGACATACCTTTCTTCTTCTGAAATTCCATGCCCTATGGCGTTGATAGTCATGTCTATGCACATACTTATGTCTCATGTACTTTTAATCAACTCTGACGCAGACGATCCTCCATGACATGACGTTAAACTGTCCAGCATCTTTTCTCTTGTTCTCCCTCTGCCTCTCCTCCCCTCCAACTTTCCTACTGTCACGATGTACTCCAGTTGTCTCCTCCTCATTACATGACCAAAGAAAGTAGATTGTCACTTTCTGATGTGGGCAATCAGTTCTCTTTGTGAGTCAGTTTCTTTCATGACATCTGTTTTATCTGTCCAGGGTATTCTCATCATCCGTCTATAAAACCACATCTCAGGATATACCCACTGCTTAATGCATATTTTCTATGAGGCCTCACTCTTATACCACCATCAGCATGAGAACTCCCTTTTTTCCAAACTGCCTGCCAGGGAATTTATACCCCTGCTATGTTGAGTACCTTGAAACACATTCAATAACTTTTAAGCTACAGAGGTGCACACAATAATTTTAAACAAGTCCACTAAGTTCAAGATGGCTGATATATACTCTCATTATGAGATTCATTCCAGAGGACAAAAAAAAAAAAAGACACATCCCTGTGTGGGTTCTGGGGCCCCACTGTGGGGACAACAAGAACAGATCCCCTGCCTCCCCAACAAGCATGTCGTAAGAGTCGACTAACTGGGGACTTTCTTTGAAGTCGGAGTGCACCTGTCTGAGAGGTAAGGAACCAACAACCTGCATACACAAAGTCAGATCTGTAAAATGGATGTGCATGCAACACCGTGGACAAACAACTAGAAATTTCTGCTGGAGTTTACAGCCTGCAAACAGGAAGAAGAAGAAGAAGTAAAGACACAGATGAATGTCCATGAGGACTGGAAAAGCCTGAAAAAATCCTTCTGAACCTTGACAGCTACCACAAAACATACAGATGTCAACTGAGTTGGATTAGGTCTATGCTCCACTGATATATGTAATGCAGAAGTAGAGAAGAAAGATACAGATTTTCATTTTGAGGTGAAACCGGAAGACTCTCCCTGTGTGGGTTTTGGCGCCCCACCGTGGACTGCAGAACAGACCCACCTCCCTTCCAATAAGTATGTTATAAAGGGCAACAAATTAGGTGTTTGCTAAAATCGGATCTACGGGGCTAAAGGTGAAGATATCGCATCCCGGCTGTAAACCGAAACACAATGTGCCAACCGCTCGTTTAAGAGTGAATGCAGAAGAAGATACGTCTAAAACTTTGGCAAGTACAACAAATTAACATTCAGATACGTCAAATAACACAAGGTATAGCCTACAGAAGCCCCCCCCCCCCCCCTTTCCCGTCACTTCAACCTCCATTATCAAACTACTCCCAACAATGTTTGCCCAGTGAGCAGCAGCTAGAAAGCTGCTAGCAGACCCGATGGTCTACAGTTAGAATCCATAATGAGGCAGATTTTTTACAAACTTACTTTAAACTGCCAGATCAACCCAGCAAAACATGGGTACAGGAAATATCCTGAGAAGGTAGTGGTGGTCAGAGTGTTATTGATCACATCTCGCATTGAGCATCTGCTCATCTATGAAAATATGGGACTGGCACTGAATATGCCAATTGTGCAAACACACACACACACACACGCACAAAACAAAAATTACAGATCCCTAACCACTGCCTTCCTTTTTATTTAAAATTAAAAAAAAAAAACTTTTTATTAATCAATGCAATCAAACTTCACGCACCCATTTATTCAGCAGTTCATCGTCAGGGAGTCAGGTGAACATATTTCATGATGTATGTATTAAATCCACTGTCCCCTAACAAGAATGTCACATATGGCAGCTTCATCAGCAGTTTGTGGAAACTGGGCGTATTTGGTCGAAAGAGGCAGATTTCACAGTCTAAATGCAAACCACATAAAGATATACCAACCATCCCTTCATCCTTCAGACTTCTTTCTAACATTTATTATTATGTTCTGTTTAAAAAAAAAGTGCACAAACCTGACACCATGAGGTGCATCAGAGACAACGTGAACTTCTAAAATAATTTTGTCATCTTTGATAAAGCCGTTGGAAGGGTCCAGCACATCCTGCAGAAGAAACAACAATATTTAAAACCATTCACTAACTGCCCTCCCTAGTTGGATAGGTGAAAGGGTAGAGAACAAAGAGACACACTGGTTCTCAAGGCTGGGGTTGAGGCCTGTTGCCGACACCCACTTAGAGTCACCAAATGAAAAAAAAAAGGGTGTCATTCAGACAGACTGATGGATGGAGGTGGATGAAACCTGCAACAATGAATCTCAAGGGATCATAATGCTGAAGAAGAAGGCACAATAACTGCTTCCCATGTGGGTTCTGCAGAGAACCCTGCTGCATAATAAAGTACCCTTTCCCATGCCTTCTGGCGTACTAGGCATATTGGGCTAGACCTATATTTTATAGAACAGTTGGCAATCAGTAGGTGATGTGGTTAGCATCAAGCCGGCATTGGTACCCACTCAAAGCTTGGTCAAGTGGCAGCCAAGATCATTTTTTGAAAAAAGTCTGGCTCCATCAGGAACTGAACCCAAGACCTTCTGACTGGAAGGCACATGTCTAACTGCTACATCATGGTGGCTCCCACTACACCATAACAAATTTTAAAAAAAAGACTTCAAGAGAAAGATAAAACCAAAACATTTGAAATCAATCATGCTGCAGACTGCTGGATCAGTAGAGGTGCTGTCTGTCTGTCTGTCCACCTGTCAGAGCTTCCCTACTAGTACACCAGCTGATAACCAAGTCTAAAGACCTGCCTTGATAAAACATCAAGTTTTCAGGCTGCATTACCTCTCCCTAGGATAAGGCTAGTAACCTACCCTTTCTGTGTTCTTCAACGTGAAGCTGTTGACGCAATGTGTGTGGGATACCAGGTTTGGGTATATGTTGCACAATATTCGGCATTAACAGAAGAGGCAGTACCAACTATTGTTACAAAGTAGCTCAGTAATTTCTGACCAAGACCTGACATACAGACATAATATCTATTTATAATCTTAAATATATTCAAATTTAAAAAAAAAGGTTTATCAGTTTCATTGTTCTACCATGGGTGTGTTACTGCCACACATACAATTTCTTATAGTATCAATCCTTTCTAATATACATAGATGAATAATTAAAATAACATAAAGATTCTAAAATAACCGAGACAAACAGATGAATCTTTCTGCAAAATGTAAATAATTAATACGTAGTAGACATACATCAACATGTCAATCAACGTATCACACATGGATAATTTAATATAAACACACAGATGGATGCAAGAACCTGCCCTTACTCCTGTATGCATCTTTCTAACATTCTTCTTCAGCAGTCCCTGGACATGCATTTAATTAACTATGGGCCATAAAGTGGAATGTCATCTCAAGGTCTCTTAGGTTTCACTCAAACAGTCGTCGTCAGGTCTACTGGATGTCGCCATAAATTGACAGTTCCTCCAGGAGAGGAGTCTTGCAAGACTCTGGGGTTGTTCACCACAAAGAACTGACAAAGAGCTGTCTCAAACTTAACACTGACAATTTATAAGACACCTACCTGCCATGCCATAAAGTGGCTGAATCCCCAATCATTCTCCTTGTGATAAAATAAATGCTGTATACCTGAAAACAGAAATAAATGCATTACCAGAATCATAACCAAGCCTCATGATAGGCAATGTTAAATACAACATAATAAAGAAAAAAAAAGTAAAGATCCCTTTTCACGCCTTAGGTGCATCGGGCTTATGGGAGAACATCCACAATTTTACAGACCAATCGGCACTAGGTGGGTAATGTGGTCAGCATTACGGCGGTCGTCAAATACAACATAAAACTTGACTAGAAAGCAGAATAGAAGGAATTGAAAAGATGCACATAAATATAACCAAACATTATACCAAAGTCTTTATCAATGAAGTACTAAATACCTGCACACTAAATTTAAAAAAAAACTGACCAGAAAACTCAATAGACAAGATAACAGAGCTTGTGGAGATAACAGCTTGTACACATACACAAACAAGGTCTGCATGAAACCAAGAAATATGTAATCTTCTTCAGCATTTCAAGCCCTTGAGGTTCATTGCTGCAGAGATCACCCGCCTCCATTCATCTCTTTTTTTGCCTTCTCTTCATTGTTGGTGACACAAAGTGTTTGTAGGTCTGTCTGGATATTATCTATCCATCATCTTCTTCGTCTACCTCGTGGTCTATGACCATTCAGCTCCTTTGTGTATACAGTTGTTACCTCTCTGTCATCTGACATTCTCTCAATATGTCCCAGCCATTTCAGTCTATTAGCCCTCATGATGTCAGTGATCAGTGGTGATTTAAACAGATTTTGAATTTCATTGTTGCTTCTCACTCTCCATTCCCAGCTGTTTGCATCTTTGATGGGTCCAAAAATTTGTTGAATGAGACTTCATCTCTTTTAGTTGTGTTCTAAGTTTCAGAGCCAACAAGTGGTCTTAACGTTTTATATATTTTGATCTTGGTTTTGCGAGAGACAGGCTTTGACTTCAGAAGATGCTGAATGGTACATTATACTTTATTTCTAGATTGTAACCTAGATTGCATTTCTTCTCTCAGCATGTTGGAGCAGTTGAAGTTTCCACACAAGTATAAATAGAGAAATATGTGATAAGAACAAAATTGACATGAAAGACTACAAAATTAAAGAAAATATGAAGGCAGTTAAAAAAAAACGAGGAGGCAAATCTAAAATTAAGGCCAATTAGGCGGAATCCACCAGACTTAAAGAATATTAATGACATTCTGATTCTGGTACATACATGTTATGGTCCACACTGGTGTGATGGAATGTATGCCCTGTGCTGATATTCTCCGTGTATGGTTTATAGGCACACATTAGAAGACCTAACACTAAAAAAAACCATTACTGGAGGGACAAGTGTAAAGTAAACAACAAGCAGACTCATGAACTATAGTCCGAAAGCCATATACTGCTGTTCAAAACCCATGAGATGAGAACTAAGTAAATTTACGAGTAGTATGACATTAAAAAAAATAATTTTTATATTAAGAATTCAACGATAAGGTCTCAATGACAACAACACTAAGGCTTACTTCTTCTACAAGGTTCTGCTTCTGGATCCCATTTCAGCATTCTTAATTCTGCTGAAGCTTGACAAGACCACGAAGTTGATTCTGAGTCTCCGTTACACTGAAGGAAAAACCCCAGACTCTTCTGTCGGTCTGCATGATTTTTGCGAGGCATTGCCATGATCTTCCTTTAGAGACAAAATCATTCAATTACTGTGTACCGACTTCAACAATATCTCTTGTAATTTAAATCCTGTCATTAACAGCCATATGGTAGCACTCATTTACCAACATATTAGTCCAATTTGTGTCTTCTTTACTTCCTCTTTTACCACTCTGGGTGTTGAGGGAGATATAAGGTTCTGCTTCTCGTTCTGATAGCTGCCTTGACCACTGATACACTGCATGTTCAAGCACCTCACTTAAATCTTTACGATGATTATAGTCATAGAACTATGTTTTAACAACCCTTTAATCCCACTAACGCTAAAAAAATGTCAAGAATTTGTAGGAATTTCAGAAAAAATCCTTACAAATAAAAAATATCATATCCTACAACTAATTATTTATATTCATTAAACAATATTTATGAAATAAATAAAGATATATAAACGGGTATCAACAAAACAAGAACAGAGTAAAGCAAGCATTAAAATAGGATTCACTCACTGGGGCCAACCTAAAAAAAATGTATTATGTGACTCAAACCGTAGCTCTGTGATCACTGAGGCTTACAGGAAAATCTGACAACTTGCTTTTAAAAGATGCAGGGTCAGTTGCAGTCGCTGTTCATTCACAGTTGCTGTTTATTCAACGCTAACGCTAAAACACTCAAACTCCTATATTCTAGGCATGTCATGTGTTAGTACTTTTCAATGTTGTAATCGTTAACTGTGTCATATTTTCCACTGACTGTTACTTCTGTTTGTTTCATCAGCCTCACTCTGCCCTGTGTGGTAACACTGTCCTTACTTCGTGATTTGGCCTTCACCATGAATTTCCTTGACATGTCAGTATTCTTGCATGTGACCCTAACCCTAACGCTTGAGCAGTTGTTCAAAGCTTGAACCGTCGTTCACAGAAATGAGAGTTGCTCACTTTCGTCTGGGAAAGAAGAAATCTGTGCACTTTCATGTGGGAGACGGTGTGTCAACCCGGACAAAAGAAACCCAAAAACTTGTCGTCTGTGTGTGAGTGTGTGTCTCTCTCTATATATATATATATACACCAAAGAAATACATTTAACACTAAACTAGAGCTCTGGAAGAGAGATAAATAAATTCAAGTGAATCAAAAGGTGATGAAAAGATGCCAGAGCTAGATTTGAACAAAAACTGAGCAAACCTTATGTCAATATTAAGTACACTGTCCTTGTACTGAATTACAAATAGAAATAAAAGTGAATTTTAACTTTTTTAAACAAAGAAAAGAATTAGAAATAGACATGAATAAAATGAGAAGAATGTTTAGTAAGCTGCAAATGTTGGCAAAAGATAGAACAACATGGAGCGTGTTGCTTGTGAGATTATGCTCCAATGAGAGATAAGTTAACAAAAAGTAAATTTGGCTTGCATTACAATTACAACGTACCTAAAGAGGTGCCTGCATTAGGCACAACTTGAGATTTACATATATTATTCACTGAAGCAAAAACAATATTTAAAAGCAAAGTTCAAACTTACCATGGCAAGTTTCTAACCATACAGGGAGGACTGAGAACTGACTCTTCAAGTTTGCTGAAGTTCTCTACAACAAACTGGAATGTTGCCTCTGCTCGACTCTCATCTAGGGATACAAACAGATCCTCATAAAAATGTAGTGCTGTAACCACAAGTCATGAAGTTCTATATTTAATCAGATTTCTTTCTGTACACATAAATATTATTTCTTTCTGTTCTTTATCCTCAAGTGGAGCACATCATTCAATGCCAAGACATCATTCTTAGCTATCTTATGCAGCAACCTATATCCTTACGGCCTTTTCCACTTCATACTTTAATTAATTTTTCTATGTGTCTTGATGTCTACATTTATTTCTTTGACAAATTATTGTAGCACCGTTAAATAAGTATGAGGAGTGGCTGGCCGAATGGTTAAGAACACTGGGCTCTCAAGCAGGTGATCCAGGTTCAAGTTCTCGATAAGGTCATGGAATTCTTCTGTTCAAGGAAATGAGAGAGCAAATGAGTTGGCAAAAGCTGGAAGTAATCTTCCACAACCTTATCCGCCACATAGCTACAAGGTAACCAAAACAGTGCTAAAGCAGTCTTTCAAGCAGGAGTGGAGAAGGCAGAATGGAGATTACAGACCAGAGTGACAGCATAAACAAACTCAACAGGAAAGAACAAACATCAATTTTTAGACTTCGGACAGGACACTAAGGTCTTTGAGCACACATGCACAGGATAGGCATAAAAGAATGCTGCCTGTGACTGTGGAGCAGAAAGACAGACCCCTGAACACATACTGCAGTACTGCCCTAACTTCTCCCAACAAAGACTGGATCTGGCCCAAGGGAGCTTCACAGCAAGAGAAGCTATGGGGGACCGGTGGCGACCTCAAACGCACAATCCTATTTGTGACGCAGATGGGACTCAGTGTTTAGCATGACTGATGTGAAACGCAGAATAAGAAGAAGAAAAAGAAGTCACTTTCATTATGTTTTTTCAACTTTGACTGGATTTGAGCTCGAATATTATTTTCTGAATTCTAAAGCAACATCTTCACTCTTTTCAAGCTATCTTAAACAAGAACATCATTGAGTCATCAAAATATAATTTTCTCAAATTTGGCAACACAGACAGATATAAGCACTACATTATGACAGTCAATAAATTCAAATATCTGATTACAATTATCAGATGGAAAATGTGACAGAGATTAAAAGCAGAATAGGTCAAGCGAAGGCAGCATTTCAAAAAATGAAAAATATCTTTTCATGTTGGAAAGAGAGTGCTAAAATGTTATATAGAACCTGTTCTGCAGTTTGGCAGAGAATCTTGGAATGTCAGTGAATTAATTAAGAAGAATTTACAAGCAACAGAGATGTGGTTTCTGAGACGAATGTTACGAATACCTTGGACGGCCAGAGTAACTAACAACGATTGTTTGAAACAAGCCAATGAAAATAGATCTCTATATACAACAATAAGAAGGAGACAAACACTGCTCTTTAGCCATATAATGAGAAAAGAGGCATTGGAAAACATCGTGACAACTGGAAAGATCAGTGGAAAGAGGGGCAAAGGCAGACCAAAAGAGACGATGCTGGATGGGCTGAAATCATGACATGGAGGGATATCATCAAGAGAGCTGTTCCAGGCAACCAGGGATCGTGATATGTGGAGATGCATGAGCGCCCGCGCAAACTGACATGATGATGATTATGACAGTCACATATGTCCAATGAAAAAGCTTTAGCATATACAAATTTCCCAAAGCGCAATGATGAATATTCTTTTACCATGTACACTAACTTTTCTTATGCATTAAAGTTCTCTTATCTCAATTCTATGTGCAGTCAAAACATGATCGTAACAAAATATGACTGCAACACAGCTTGACTAGCAAAATATGGGTGTGATAAAACATGCCTAAAAACAAAATACACAAAGGAGGAGGACTTATAGAACAAAGCAGACCAAGAAGAAGGTGGAAAGATAAACTTGACCACAGCAGAAAGTGTTTAGGATTGAGGTGACCAGTAGAGCGAGATGCAGACCCTTATATCTCCCCAGAACCCTATTTCTCCCTCACCACCTGAAGCCATAAAGGATGAAGTGAGGAACTGCAACAAAATACAAAAGTAACAAAACAAGATTTTAATTTTGCTTGGCCGTAACAAAGAAAACATGACTGTAACAAAACATTACTGCAAACAAATATGATTGTAAGTAAACAAAACTCTTAACAAATTATGATTGTAATAATAATTTTAAAAAATTTTCTTGTTTTAAAATATCCAGAAACCATGAGTTCTTATAACTCTTTGGCTCGGTACTATGGATATCGCAACCCTTCGGCCTTGATTTCATGATAGGTACCATAAATCTGGGAGAAATGTGGCTTTTCTGCCTAACCCCGGGAGTGTGTCCAGACCACAAGAAGTTCATCACCCGGTCACCGTGTAATAAAGGATAACGCAGGCAACTGCCAAACTAACGATACAGGCAACGGCTAAACTAACTCACCTTCTTCCATTTCTTCATCATTAGACATTGTTGGCTTGATATCACCATTAACCACTTGGGCATCATTGGCCTTGTTACAGTTATTACCTGGAGGCAGAAGAAATATTCATTAACATTAGTTCCTTACAGCAAGTGCCCTTTCAACAATAGCAAATAAAATACTTTTCTGTGCTGTTTCCAACATGAAGGTTGGCTATAGTGCACTACTGCTGACTGTGGTAAAATATTACGTGGTGAGGGCTCAATCTCTTCCACGGTGCGACTCTTGTACTACTGTGTGAAAACCATAAAAACATTCTTTTTTTTAACAGTCGGCCATGGGAAACAAACCTCCAGCACATGAGGATTCTAAAACTGTTAAACACTTTCATTAACCTCTAAACACCAGTCTCACACAAAGGAGAAAGAAAGAGATCAATGACATACAAAAGTAATACTACAGGATGACACAACAGGAGAAAGAGATCAGCAGATGACTGACAACAGAAGACATTAATATATGAGAAAGACAATATATGACCGACTTGAAACAGAAGTGGCCAGTTTAAATGCTTGAGAAAGACATCAATATATGAAAAACAAAACAGAAGTGGACAGATGACACACAGGAGAAAGACATCAATGTATGACAGACATAAAACAGAAGTGGATAGATGATATACAGGAGAAAGACATCAATATATGACAGACATGAAACAGAAGTGGATAGATGATTTACAGGAGAAAGACATCAATATATGACAGACACGAAACAGAAGTGGATAGATGATATACAGGAGAAAGACATCAATATATGACAGACATGAAACAGAAGTGGATATATGATATTCAGGAGAAGACATCAATATATGACAGAACAAAACAGAAGCAGACATGATATAAAGGAGAAAGACAATATATGAGAAGAAGAAAGGAGCACTTATGGGTTATTACCCGTGTGCCATGATGTTAGTGGGTTGTTCAAACCTCAAACTTCACATGCATTTCATTAACAACATAGGTTCTACATAACACTTTTACACTCTTTTTCTCACTGCCAGTGACATTTTCTTATTGGTGAGAATATCCTGCATCTTGCTAAAGTCCACCTTTTCTGGTGGCAAAGCTGGACAGGTAAAGACCCAAAATATCCAACCCAAACCTGCACCATTTTGTTGATTCAAAACTGATAATTGCACACAATAAAGTTAAAATGTCCTATAGCATTTACACATACACAAAAACCTGTAATGAAATAGCCACACTGAAGTAAAGTTCCTTTACAGGAATTGCCATACAGAACAATATCAACAATTCTGTTTCTACCATCTCTAATCTGCCGATGGAGTGTAAGAGCTCAACCAACTCACACAAAGATGATTGTCAAAAATTTAATGATCCTTTGTCCGTATTCTGCCACACTAAATGCCATGAGGCATCTAGGCAGTAAACATCTCTGAGGTCAACAGATCTAATATTCTTCTTCAGCATTCCAAGCCCTAAAGGTTTATTGCTGCAGATATTACCCACCTCCATTCATATCTGTGATTGGCTTTCTCTTTCTAGATAGTGACTCTAAAGATACAATATTGCTTTAAATAAATATCCTTCTTTTCTAGTTATGTCCTGCCTTCCAGCGGCATGTTTTCAAGAGGCATCAGGTGTGAGCCCAGGAATGTGCTATGTGTGTAGATTCTGGTATTCAATTTTCCAGTGTTTATGTATCTGATCTCTAGCTCTGCTTCCATTGTGTTGAAAGTGACGAGCTCTCTGTGGTGCACTATCCAGTGATATAGCCTTCACACACGTCTTCTTTCGTTCGCCTCAAATAAGTTGTCTATATCAGCAATTTGTCTCTCGTAAAAATTTCACTGTTGTTAGAACTATCAGTGGTCCATAGAGTTTACGTTTCACTGTTGCTCTTTTTGGCCAAAAGGTTTGCCTTAATGTGTCAAATGTGGTGCAGTCCTGTAGTACATACTCTGCTGTCTGGGACACCTTTCCACAGGTGCACATGGCTGATACGCCTATCTTGAATTTTGTGTACATGTGGTTATGTAATCGGTTGTGCCCTTTTCTGAGGCGGAGGATAACTACTTGTTCTGATCTGTCCTTAATAAAATAGTCATCTTGTGCTGGGGCTGGTGGTTTCCTGGTCAATTAATTATTTTTTTCTTTTGGTGGTATATTACTGGTACATCTGGCTGCACTTTTGTTGCACCTTCCCTTGACAGTTGATCAGCTTTCTTGTTTCCATGTACACTCCACGGCCACCATTTCTTACTGCATTTTGTGCAGACCAATCTGTATAGGGACCCATTATTCTTGTGGGAATACTTCATCAATATAACAGGGTGGCCATTATGCGTTGTACACTATCTTGCTCTTTCTTGTCAAATATTCCTTTCACATTTGTCTGGATTTGTACTGTTTGCATTTTGCTCTCCATGGGGTTTGTTCTGGAAAACTTTCAAGTGGACAGCCAATTTCTGGAAGGTCAGTAGTTTGTCTACTTATTCTTTTCGCTTGGTGTAAAAAGCTGCTTCCTTTCAACCGTTCCAAAGCAAGGTTCTAAAATATATTGTTCACACATGTCAGAACCATCTGACTGTTGTCTCTTAACCCTTTCGCTGCTACGTTCCCGGAAATAGTTGTCTGCCCTGTGCTAAGCAATGAGAAAAAAAAAGTCTCTGCTGTGCGCAATACTTTTCTATCCTCAAAACGCAAAAGATATGTCGGCGGTGAGGGCTATATTTTGTACACATTTAAAAAATTTACCCTGGGGAGTTGTGTGGTTGGTCCGAGTGGTGACAAGTCAGAGGCACGATGGTGCCCCACAAACTTGACTAACGGAGCTATCACCCTTCTGGGGGGGGGGGGGGGGGATTAATGGGAAGAACTGTTCCAAGTTCGTATCCCAAAATTTGATCGAACCTACCACGGCTGCCACTTTAATCATATTTACTTGTAGTCACCATGTTATTACATACCAAAATAATTTTAAAAAAAATATTAATAATAATACTTGAGTCGTCCGTTGCTGAAAAGTAGCAGGAACTAAAGGAAAATTTACAATTAATAAAAAAAAAAAAAAAACTTCGGGGGTTGAACACACGACCCTCTGATTCTAAGGCGAACGTGATACCAACTACACTATGCTACCGCTTGACAATGCGCTGTGTGAATGATGATAATGAATGATGTGCGCAGACTATCAATAACGTGTCTAAGCTTTTAGTCTATCGCCGCCTGCATGAGCACTGTTGTCTGAGAAATGTTTGAGATTCTCAACAATAGTAAAAATATGTCCCTCGACATTATTTTACGGGAGTTTTTAGCAAACAGTCTTTGCTCAAGTACTCTATTTTGAGTTTCTTTGTTCTAAGCATTAGCAGACAGACAGCAACAACAACAACAACAAAAGTTCGTCCGAATCTGTGTCTGTCCATCGGGAAAGACGATAATTTTTAGTGACTGAACTGTTTGAATTTACAGTAGCAGAAATACAGATAGAGCTGGAGTCATCAAAATTATGCACTACTGGCTTCAAATCATCGGTTCATCAAGATAACTGATCAATTTATTGCCATTTTGATGGCGCTCCATTGTCGCTGCTCTCTGATTCCGACGATGAGGACGTCGGACAGGCAAACAGCTTTTTTTTTGGGACACGCCGGTTTCAGCAGTCGATACTGATGGCCTAGTCAAATCTTCTTGTTCGCTGTCAGAAGTACACATTTCAAAGTCATCTTCGCTATCACTTCTTGACAGAAACTCCATCAATTCTTCATCAACTTTAACAAGTATCCTTGCCATTTTGTACTAAGTGTAGAATAATCCAAAAGCACAAATATATATCAGGGCACAAAATACACAGATCACCGACCACGCTGTCACGGTAAACAAAGCAACGGGATAACGCAAAATGCAGTAAACACACCTTAAACACGCCTAAAAGCATGTGCCAATGCTTTTAATCGTATGTAAATGGGTCAGTTTAATCTAAATATAGCTAATGTATATTGCCCTTCAGCCAATAAAATACGAGGTAACAGAAATCTGTAAGAAAAACGGATTGGGACGTCCATAGCACTGGGGGTCAAGAAAAAAAATAACGTCCAAAGACGGGCGTAGCAGCGTACGGGAAATCAGGAAAAGACGTCCATAGCAGCGAAAGGGTTAATGATAAATATCCACTAGCAGCAAAGTCTAATGTGCTGAGGAATCAAACTATTCATAACCTGACAGACATCCAAGTCTCAGATCTGTGGGTTGCTGGTCTATGGAGGTACAGCCCTAGAAAGAACAGGACGTTTAATATATGTATGATGGATGGCTGAGCAGTCATGTGTAGGACATTGTTGCCTTCTTGAGTTAGTTAGTTAATGTGTATCCTTTACAGGACATTGCAGAACCAACTAAAGCATTTTTTGGCTGTTGTAGTTTTTCTAGGCAAATTTACATCCAGTAGTTTGCCATTTCTTTCTGGGCGGTCGGCTGCTCGATACAACTGTCTAAACCAACGCAAGGCGCAATGCCTGCAGCTGGAATTGAACCCGGCACCCCAGCATTACAAAGCCTTCTTGAGTAGCAAAGTATTATGTGTGGGCTCTGCATTCATTAAGCCTTTCTGGATGGTGAGGAATGTTCTGGGAAGTCCTGATCACTGACATTCCCTGTGGACAAGATGGCAATCTTGCTTTTTGATATCTTGCAATCTTCTACATCATCATCTGTCAATATGTGTGCTGACAGTCTTTCATGTCATCACAAAAGACTCAAAAATCACCTCTTACGATCTTTTCTCTCTTTCCGTAAATCTTTCCAATTGTCATCAAATTTTTAATTTTTCCTCTCTTCTCTTTTGCGACAAAATGACTAAGTTTATGTGTGTCAACCTCTTTCAAAACACATTGCTAATTAAAGGTTGTCTGAGGTACTTGAAGAATTCTTCTGTAGAAATCACATATTTGTGGATTCAAAAAATTCTTTGGTTTGTGTATTAACTTCACAGACTTATGTTAACACTAATTCTACAGTAATGCATATATATGAACACAGAGGACTCAGATTGTTTAACCTATTGCCTATTACATTTTGCTGTATCCCATGCACAATAAGCAAATAAATGAATCCTTTTAAGGGAAATACAAAGTCCACCACAGTCAAATCTAACTGCTTGTTTCACTTGGGTAAAAAGCTAAGTTCATAACAATATCATTTTGTCTGCTCAACTCTAGATGGGCACATCTGACCCTTGCAGCTTCAATGAACTGAAGCAGCCTATGAGTGGTCAATGTAAAACAAACTTGACTACCTTTGACAATTCTTACAAATGATAATCACAGGCTGCTTTAACTGCAAGTTATTCAACAGCAGACAGCTTTGTGCTGATTTCAACAATGGTATGGATCACTGACGATTCAGATGTCAATGGCAAACTACTAAACATAAACTGCCTAGTAAAATACCAAATATCTAACAAGTACTGCAGTCAGTTTGCGACATAGTGTGAAGATTATGCAACTAACTACACACATTCTTGCATGTTACATATAACCAGTTTTATTAAAACTTGACTGAATCCTGAACAAGCAAATCACAACCCCTGGTTTTATAAAAGAATTATGTAAATTACTTGGACAGCCAACATCATCAATCATCATCGTCCTTTTAGTGCCATTCTACGTCAAATAGGACTCGCTGTCTATTCCACCCATTACATTCTTCTTCTTCTTCGCGATCACCAGCTGTACACTCTGGCGGAAAGTTCTGGTTGCTCGTCCACAACTGAACTGCAGTCCTGCTCCAGAACCTGAGTGTTGCGTGTGCATCAGTTTTACAGATCTTATTCTCTTGAATACAGACTGTTGATTCCTTGCCTCTCTGGCAGATGCACTCCGACTTCAAAGGAAGCTCCCCAATTAGTCAACTCTTACGACATGCTTTTGGGGAAGCAGTGGATCTATTCTTGTTTTCCCCACAATGGGGCCCCGGAACCCACACGGGGGCCATTACATTCTATCCCGTGCAATCTTTTCAATATCATGGATGGAATCCAGTCCAGCATCTTTAGCCTTCCTCATTAACCTTCGTTTCAGGGTTTCTTTTTGACGTCCTTGCTTCCTCAATACCTTTATTTCCTACTTTAGTTGGGTGTTCAATTTTTCTCAAATTTAATCAATACAGCAACGTCTTCTTTGTCTTACAACTGATGTTGCCAGTGGTTGTCCAGACATTTATCTTATTAAAAAGCTGGCAAAATCATAAACAGGCAATCTAAATGTTTTAAAAGAGACTCAAAGACAAAGACAACTTATAAAAAATCAGCTGCCATTTTTTTTCTGGTCTTACAGAAACATGGGAAAATATGACACGATTAGCAAGTTTTATAAACAAAATAAATAGGTCATGAAAGGTAATAAGGAAAGTTTCTTCATGACCGTTTTTCTAAACTTCTTGTGGCAAGAATGGTATCTCCAGTCAAACAAATTAATAAACAACAATGACATGCTGCAGGTAGGACTCCAACTAAGTTGGCAACTTGGAAAGTGCAAGATTTTACTTATGGGGAAGCTTGACTACCCAGGTCAGCTGCCAAGCAACTGATTTCGATGATTTTTTCACGGATAATATAAGGTACCACAGAAAGCGATATGGATATCATTATTAATGCAAAACCTGCAGGCTTCCTTTAACAAAATAAATTGTATTCTTATTCTAGTCTACAAGTACAAGACTTTAGAAAATAAGCTCTAACACTAAAAATTAAAATGTAAGACGTAATTAATTAATAAGACACACAATCTTGTTGTGACTCTAATCTAGCAAAGTACAATTCTCTATAGTTCTATACGCTTTGTGTTGTGTTACAACAATATGTTGTAAAAATTTACACACATAGCAATAACACAAAAGAAAAAAACACCGTATGACTGTATGAAATAATGAGAAAAATCAATCCTAATAACAAATGCACACCATCATGGTCTGTGTCCATGGCTTCAGCTTCTGTTTTCACTCCATCGCTCTCATGTACATGGTTCATCGTGTTGACGTTGTTCATCATATCATTAGCCTGTGATGTGACCGTTTGTTTTACTCGCCCAGGAGCCTGCAGACTTCTCTGCGTGACGGCCACCTTTACGTGCTTACTAGCAATTCGCCCAATGTCTGCAGATTCTACCCCTCTGACGGGGAAAACTGCTATAACACAAGCAGGGAAATCTTTCCTAATCTCTGCGTCCACTGGCGCCGGGATGTGAACAAAAATAAACAAGATGGCGGTCTCGCGGTTAGGGGCTTTACAAATTCTTGTAGTTACATATTTTTTCCCCAAAAAAGCCTTTGCAGAATATAATACTTTCGGCGTTGTAAACAACTAAATTATATTCTTATAATTTATTTAAGTTATTTAGAGCATTCAGTGGGTTAATATATGACTTTATATTTATTTTGACCATTGGGCTTTGAGTATGTTGGTGAGTGCAGAATTGCAATGAACAATGTTACTATAGGAAATAACAGAAAATCGAATATAGATCGGCACAGCCAGGCATGAGAGGCACACCGGACGTACAAGACGACTTTTTAACCAGCATAGGATTGACAGTGTAAACCGCGAGACGCTGATGTTTATGTTGAAGGGTGAGTCTGAACACCTATGGACGTGTCCGAAGTGCCACTAAGATATCCCAACTCATACTGTCATAACTAGCTCGGGAAATGAACACCGGGGATGTTGAGGGGATAAAGCAGACACAAGAGAAAAACAATTTCTTTTTCTTCTTCGTTGTGTTCACCAGCTGTAAACTCTTCTGTTCCAGAACCTAAGTGTTGCGTGTGCATCGGTTTTACAGATCTGACTCACTTGTATGCAGACTGCTGGTTCCTTGCCTCTCAGGCAGAGGCACTCCGAATTCGAAGGAAGCTCCCAATTAGTCTACTCTTACTAATTACTAGAGGCCATTGAAAACTTTCTGTTTCATTTGTCACTAACTACCAAGAGGCCATTTTATCAACTTTTTTTTTCTGTTGGTTGCTCTCTAGGGCAATCGTCTGCATAGCAGCCATCTGGAAGTCTTTTCCTGGCAGCTACTTTCACTGTTCTTCTCAACTCACTAACCACCCAGCTCCAAACTTAAAAACTATTTCTTAGAAAAGTGACACTTGTTTTCCTTAAAACCACTATCTGACAACTTTTTCTCGACAAGTCAGAAAGACCTCAGTGTATCATAAGGGACTTAGCAATGTTTTACAAATGATTTCAAAACTCCCCTCTAACCAACTAACAGTCCCTTCAACGTTTCTGTCCAACCGACTATTTCTCCTGGTCGCCTGCCTGGCTACGGCATTAGTGACTTTGTCTTTCTGTACGTTTACAAGTATTGAAAGTTTTTCAGCATTCGCACATTTTGTCGCCGATTTCAAAACTCTGCCTACCCGTCTAAACAACTTTTCCTTAAACTTTTCTGTCTGACCACTCTTTTTCCCAGTCGTTTTTATGAGTGTGGCATAAGTAACTTTATCTTACTGTACGCTTAAAAATCTTTCTAACTTTTCAACATCCGCACCTCTGTGGGCCGATTTCAAAATCTGTCTTCCGGTCTAAAAAAAAAAAACTAACCGTTTCTTCACATTTTCTACCCGACCGACTGTTTACCAACATCTTTTCAATATTTGCACATATATCAGCTTGTCAACTTTGACATGGACTGACACTTTTTTCAAAGCTGTCACTAGCAAACATGTGTCAAATCTTTCCCTAACTAATAACTTGATATCTTAATTCTTTTCCTATCCAACAGAAATCTTTTTCGACTTTTTTCCCACATAGAACAACATGTCGACTTTGGTATTAACTGACACTTTTCTTCAAGGTGGTCTCTTGCGAACCTGTGAGATCTTTTCTCTAACTTGTAAACATTTTTACACTTTTGTAAAACTTTTTTTTTTTGGGGTGTAAACTTTGTTCACTGACGTCTATCTCTTCAGTGGTAATATATAGAGCAGCATGTAAAGCTTTTCAGCCAGTTGGTCAACTATACTACTATTGTAGAGGTCTTTACATGTTATGCATTTTAAGTAGACCAGGCAATGCGTTTATTAGGTCAGGATGAAATTGATTCTTAAGTGAGAGCGGAGTTGAGCGTGACAAAACGTAGTTAAGTCCTGAAAACAGGAACAATTTATCTGAGACGGAATGTGGGTGTGGTATCAGGGATAACAGGATTAGGTCAGATAGTTCAGAGTTAACTATTTTGGTGTAATCAGAATGTAAGTTGTTAGTGTATAAACTATGAGAATAAATTTGTGAGTACGGGGGAATGCATTACCCTGTTAGAACAAGTGAATGTAATTATAAGTCCTAACTGAATTAGGGGATAGAATTCAGAAGTAGAGTCAGTTGGAAGGAAGTTGAGATTTTAGGACCGTCCAGGTCGGACGTTCTTGTGTTCCGCGGGTTTGCGGAAAGACTGCGATCTTTTCTCTTATGAGGATAGTGTTCTTTTAGTGAGGATTTTTTTTACCGCAGTTAGCGGAAATATATTGAGAAGAGTTTTAGCTGTTTAGATAACAAGTGGAAATAATAGAGACTTATTCTCAAATGTATATAATCATCATCACCATGTGACGTGTACTTTATGTGAATGATATTAAAGTTTATGTGGCCTGTTACAAGTCGTTATTGTTGACTCTTAAAGACAGTCACATTGGTATTTGCTGGGGCTGGAGCAAGTGTGCAGAAGTGTTAAATTATACAGGACTGCAAAAAAAAAAAAAGCAGCACATCCATCGATAGGAGATCCAGTGGCATATCAGCGTAGGCACCCTAGACCTACAGACTTGGTTGTTTTCTGATTCTAAAAGTATCAGCTCAGAAACATACTTATTTTATGAACTAATATAAACAAGTGCTCTTTATGGCCATAGTCTACACAGGGGGTTAAACATAATCGTACAACACAGAGTATCCACACTTTGAAACAACTAAATCGACGAGGGGAAATGGGGACCGAGTCCTGAGTGAGCAGAGATTCTGGAAATATATTCAATATTTAGGGGAGGGGAAATGGGGACCGAGTCCTGAGTGAGCAGAGATTCTGGAAATATATTCAATATTTAGGGGAGGGGGAAAGGCAACGTTTAATCAGGTGGCAGCTAGTACTATATGGATTTCGCCTCTTCGTTCCCTGCTGTGGAAGGAGACTGGGCACGAATTGGAATGTCCCAAGTGCAAGGATATGAATTATTCATGTAAACATTCCTTTATTCAAGACATATTAGATATATGGTCACAGTCACATATTTTGCAGCCCAGTAGACACTGCACTCCATAAGTAGTAATGTGGTGAGCATCACATTGACCAACTTTACTTTTCAGAACATGTCCTTCTAATTATTCTAGGCAGGGTTGATAAGACACGCGGTAAATTATTTTTTTACATCCCCGTCTTCAATGGCAATCGACCATCTGACCTCCTGACCTGTAGTCAGGAGATTCTGTTCTAGTTAAATAATGTTACTCTTTGTTAAACAGTAAAACGAATTTTGCTAGTGCTTAATATATATGCTTTAGCAATGCAGAGACTGAACGCATGAAGAACATGTGGTACTGTATCAGCAAACGAGTTGAGAGTTGAAAAAAAAAAATTCAAGAACGTGTATATTCCTATGGCAGCTTACGGATGTGAAACTCTTAGTTGATAACCGCAGACAACGGAGTTTTTGAACTAACATGTTACAGAAACATTCTTAGAAGACCAACGACTAAAAAAAAAAAAAAAAATCATCGACATTTTTTATGATCTTAACATTCAGGAGAACAGCTCATAAACAGCATGCTGTCCTGAAAGTTGAGATATTTTGGCAATGTTCAACGTCACTATTGTGGAAAAACGGGTGTAATTTCTGGAAGACGGGGGTGCATACGAGAAAGTAAAGATGCATTGACTTTGGAAGCCCGTATGCCTGGAAAATGTGCTAGAGATAGACTTTCTGGTGTGCCGTGAAGATAACGATGTTATGTAAAGAATCTGCTAACTGACGATGATAACATGAACATCAGGAAGCGCTTGGTCGACTGGAGTGAACAGCGGACGCCGTGCCTCAAGACCACCCAGCGCACACAGAATCACACTGAAGAAGTATAATAAACATAAAGCAAGGGGAGGGGAGGGGGTCTTCAAAATAAGGAACAACGCCATAACTAACAGCCTCAAAGAAATTAATATCAGCGTATAGAACACATATTACATATTAGAAAAAGATTCGTACACCAGCCCTACAAACACTTTGATGAGGTAACCGTTGGGAAGGACAAGAGAAACATGAAGAAAGCAGAGATGAGGAGCAGGGTGCATAAACGTGCATAAAGGGATTAATGAAAATAAAAGCCTACATGAAATAAAACCTGCATGTCTTAAAGTATATAGTTAGCAGGAATATACATACATACATGCATACATACTTACACACACACACACACACACACACACACACACATATATATATATATATATATATATATATATATATATATATATATATATAAAACGGTGAAACAAAATAGATAAGATCGAATCTGCATTTACAATTCTTCTTCTTCTCTTCCACCTTGTACCTCATCGACGTGTCGGGGGAAGATGTAATGGCATTAAAAATTAACCGACGCTTTTTTGATTAATGTAAATAGTGTAACAATTTTAAACAAAGATATCTTATTCAACACACCTGTCTTATATATTGGATTTACAGATTTTGTTCTTTTTCGATATCACATTTTATGTTTGTCAGTTCATCAACATCATATAGCAGGTCCTTTGCAGAACGTCACTCTCATCGCGGTCTGCTTGAAAGAAACTCGGTCTCTCGCCAGCTCTCCCGTCTCGAGTACTTTTATACTCAAGGAGTCACTTCTATCCTGTGCCCATCTTCGTGTCGGTCGGCCCCTGCCCCTCCTTCCTGGTACCATGCCTTCTGCTATAATTTTTTTCCAATCCGTCGTGGAGCTTGATATGACCAAAATATTTCAGCTTTCAAGACAGGATGCTGTTTATTAGCCTA